CGCACGCCGGTCCCGCCAGCCCGCAGCGGGAATGCGCGCAGCCTCGCCGCCCCGGGCTCTGAGATCGCCTGGGCTCCTGCATCCTTTCTTTTAAGGCTTTCGGGCTGCGGGCTCCACTGATGTGACACCCCCCCTTCCCTTTTTCTTCCTTTTTTTTTTTTTTTTTTGGAATGATGGGGATCTTTTTGGCGTATGTCGGATTTGCCTTTTCTGTATTGTACGTGCAGCAGGGGCTTTCTTCCCAAGGTAAGTCTGGGCTCCTTGGCAAATATGCATTTGCTTGTGGCGTGCGTGTGTGCGTGTGCGTGTGTCTGTGTGTGTCTGTGTGTGTGTGTGTGTGGTGTGTCCAGGCAGATGTGAGATTCCTAGCAAGGAACAGTGGAGAATCATCGCGTTCTGTTAGGCATTTTTCTTTCTTTAAAGTTGATTAAACGGTAGGGATGCTAGATCTGAGAGCAAATCTATTTGGTGCCTGGCAGTGAGGTGGGTCGCTAGGTGAGCAGAAACACAGGGATGTGTGTGTGTGTGTGTGTGTGTGTGTGTGTGTGTGTGTGTCTTCTGTGTGCGTGCATACGGTAACCGCTCATGCATGCATAACCATGGCCAACACACAGGGGCTCTCCGAGGCCAGTCCTCCTGCTCCTTGGAGGCAGATGGGTTTATAGTTTCCTTTTTTCTGGGTCCGGGTGACTTCGTGTGCATGTGTGTGTCAAAGGACAGACTCCTGGGAGGATCCATAAAAGGCACCACTTGCATTCCAACGGCGCGCCTGCAGCCTGCGGAATCCAGCGGTTCGCGACCCCGCAGGCTGCGGGCCGGTTTCAGCACCACGAACAGAGCTCGCCGCCGGGCCAGAAGCCCGCATCCTCCGAGGCAGAAATGCCACCTCCCCCCCGCCCCCCAACAAAAAGTCCTTTTCCCATCAGCATGTCTTCTTGGCGTCTCCCCTTTACTCTGAGTATAAACGCAGTTCCCTGTCAATGGAGATCATTTGGGGGTTCATGAAACTGAAAAGAGACGCTGTTGGTGGCTTTCCTTAAAAAGTGGGTGTCGGGGGGTGCATTCACCCCGAGCCAGTCCTGCAGCCCCTGGGCCCCCCTCCATGCCTGTGCGCTGCCTCTGTGCACACGGCCAGCCCAGACCGCTCTGACACTACTTTTAGGGACCCGTCAGCTCTTCCCAAGGGGTCCCTCGGACAAGACAAGCACAACCAGCTGAAGCATGCACGTTCAAGACATGCCTGGGGGAGAGAGGGGCATCTGATCTGTGTGGGTTTTGCTCTGATTCCATGAATCTTGCAAACGAGCAGGGTCGAGGTTGGTCATGGAGGGACTGGGGGGGGGGTGGGGTGGGGATCTCTTCACAACAACCTGCCCTCTGAACCACCGCGTCCAGGGGTACGGTCCTTCCACCCCGGGATGTGTGGCAATTTGCAGCACAAGGGCTTGCCAGGAGCACGCGTGAAGGTGAATTTGGAGAGAAAGGAATACTTAGAGCTGAGGAAGTGTGTGGCTTGCTCCAGCGCTGAGCACAATTGCGCGTTGCTTTTGATAAATCAGGAATGGGCATTTTGGCAGGCAGTCACGATCCAGTCTCCACCACAGGAAACATCCAGTTTCCATAGATGGTTCAGGAACTTGGGGGCGAGAGGCCATCCTCATCCACCAACGTGACAGGTGTCTGAGGTGCACCTCGGCAGATCTGGGGGCCGCCGCAGTCTGACCAGAGGCTCGCTGTGCTCCTAACTGAGCAGCCTGGCTAACAGAGGGAGTTATTGGCAAGCTCGTTAGGCTTTCCATTATCCGGGCTTGATGGACAGCAGGGTGAGGTGGGCCGGGAACCAAAAATCAGACAGGCAAGAGGCAAAGGAGAGGGGGCTGGGAGCCCGGCAAAGTGAGGATGTCATAGAGGGGTGTTTGTTCTGCATTTTTTTTTTAAGCCAAGAAAAATGGAGCTATCTCCTCAGGAAAGCGAGCTGGCGAGCGTGCTGTGGACCTTCTAAAAGGATGCGTTTCTGTTTTGCAGCAAAATTCACTGAGTTTCCACGCAACGTGACGGCCACCGAGGGGCAGAATGTGGAGATGTCGTGCGCCTTCCAGAGCGGCTCGGCCTCGGTGTACCTGGAGATCCAGTGGTGGTTCCTGCGGGGCCCCGAGGGCCTGGAGCCCCCGGCCGAGGTGGCCGGTGCTCAGGTAGAGGACTGGGTGGCCCTCACACCCGCTGCCTCTGTCCCACTCACTCCCTGGGACCTCCGGGTGTCCAAGCCAGGGGTGCGAGACTGTGCCTGGGTGTCCCCTGGGAACCGCCGGCTCTCTTGGCCCGAGTGAGGCCCGGGGACGCCAGCGGGTGAGCCTCCCTGTGTCCTGGGGACTCTAGTTGGAGACCAAGGAGGAAGTCTTGTGCGTCGGTCTGGTTCAGACTGGGAATGGCCTCCTCCTGGCAGTACCGGGTCTTGTCAAGGTGTGTGTGATGGCACCTCGGTGGTGATCTGTCCCGGGACACTCGCTGTCCCATCTCAGGAACCGTGGGATGGGGTGGGGAACTCTGTGGGTGTCTCTATCCCCGGGCCCCACGTCTATGGTTGGCAGAAGAGGCTCCTGAGAGGAGGGAGACAGAAGAGGGAGGGGTAACAGGGAGGAGGGAGAGAGGCGAGGAGGAGGGGCCTGGGAGGAGAGGGGGCGGGTGCAGAGGCCACTGGAGAAGAGGGAAGAGAAGGGGAGGGGGACCGGGTGGAAGGGGCGCTGCTGGAGGGGGATGAGGGGGAGGAAGAAAGGGGAGAGGAAAAGGGAAAGGGGGGAGGAGAGACAGGAAGAAAAGGGGGTCAGAGCGCAGGATGGAGACAGTTCAGCCCAAGAGGCAGCAGACAGGTCGGGGCTGTTGGGATGAGAAGAAAATCTGTCCCTGAGACCCCGGGGAGGGGACGCAGTCCGGCAAAGACGAGGAATCTGGTCCCCGCAAACTCCCACCTACACGCGCGCCCGCGCCACCCTCCCCGCCCTCTGGGCACCGCGCGTCCGGGCGCATCCGAGCGCGCGAGCGGAGAGCGCCCCCGCGCGGCGGTGGCCTGGCTCGCAACCGGCGGCGCCGCGCTCCTCTCTCCTTGGTACATGGGCCGCCGCCGCTGAAATGCTTGGGCAGCGATGATGGCCGAGCTGCTGCGGGTCCGGGCGGGCCCCTCGGGGCGCCCGGGCTGAGCTCCGTCTCCTTCTCCCACAGGTAGAACTGCTGCCCGACCGAGACCCCGACAACGACGGGACCAAGATCAGTGTGAGTGTCGCGGGGACGGGCCACAGGGGGCGCGCTCCGTCCGGGCCAGGCAGGCCCGCGGGGGAAAATCAGTGCATTTCAGGCTTTTGGCGCGTCCTATTGTGAAGCCTTTGCGTATTGCCTCTGAAAAAGGCGATGTCGCAAACGCAGGACGGAAGCCCGTGTTGCTTGCCTCTCTGGGTGCGTAAAAATGGAAGCCGGTTTGGAGTTGGCACGTGAAAGTATTTTTTTAATCACGAAATGTTGAAGCAGTTACTAGAGGATGAATGGGCTTGCTGTTGCCAGAGGGGCGTGACCCTGCTTTGCTGTTCGCTTTCTAGCGGTTGCATGCTGCACAGGCAGAGAGCTGCATGCTGCTGTCTGTTCCAAACCGTGGAGAGGATGGTGGCGCTTTCATAGGAAACGGTGCTAACACAGGAAACCATACAAACATAAAGCCAAAAGCCCAAATAAACCCAGAAACGTCATTGAAGAGGTTAACCCGTGAAATATAGAGATAGATTTCTACGTTACTGGTTCTTACTCTTCATAACTGTGTGTGAAATATTCTCAATGTCTTATGAAATCCGTCATCATTTAATCGTGGATAATATATAATGTCTATCAAATCTAGCTGTTTTGATAAAGATGTTTAGGGATATATATTACATATTATATAGAATTGTATATACTCTACATAACCATATATTTACACACACACATATATATATATAAATATATATATATACTTTTGCTATTAATCTGGCCTAAAAATTATTAGAAGAATCGAGTGCCAATTTCAATTTTGAAAAGCAAAGCAGTGTTAAAGGTTCCCGTAGCATAGAAACCCCATGACAGCAGGGGGTGTGCTCTGAGCCACAGACTTCAGGTGACATTAGTCTGCACCCTGAGTCACGCCACCCCATGACGATAGGTCAGACTGTTCCAAAAAACTGAGAAGAAAAACCATTACTATCCAAGTCTATGTTGCCGGTACCTTTAACTGTCATTCCAACGTGGGGAGAAGAGCTCATTCTCTGTTAAGGTTGCTGTTGGTCACCACCCCCCACTGAATATTTCTGGAATCTCTCAGAGTGGGAGCCCAGCGTGAAGGAAAGAGGCTCCGTAAACGCTAGACTTGACCTCATCAGGTTCATGTTCCATCAGCTGAGCTAACCAGGCAGAGGCCAATCCCATGATTGGAAATGGCAGAGCTGTTACCAGCACCTGGGAAACGAGGGGTCGCGTGGCTCTCGGAGTCGGGCGCTGGCTGGGTTGAACTAAGTCGCTCACGATGGTGAAGCCAGTGGGAGTAGATTGAGATAAGTACTACCTTGGGATTTCACGGTTGAGACCACAGGAAGCTCTCTGACATGGCCGGGAAGAGTCTCATTTTCCCGCAGGAGCAAGCTCGGGCAGAGTATGGGGACAGTCGTTTGATGTAGCCCTTTGTTTATTTCTTTTCCCTGCCATCTTTCAGACAGTGAAAGTCCAAGGCAATGACATCTCCCACAAGCTTCAGATTTCCAAGGTGAGGAAAAAGGATGAAGGCTTGTACGAGTGCAGGGTGACGGACGCCAACTACGGAGCGCTGCAGGAACACAAGGCCCAGGCCTACCTGAAGGTCAACGCCAACAGCCACGCGCGCAGGATGCAGGCCTTCGAAGCCTCGCCCATGTGGCTCCAAGACATGAAGCCTCGCAAGAACGTCTCGGCCGCCGCCCCCAGCAGCGTCCACAGCTCCGCCAACCAGCGAATGCCCTCCACCTCCAGCCCTCAAGCGGTAGCCAAAATCCCCAAACAAAGTCCACAATCAGGTATGGAAACCACTTTTGAGCCTTTCATTTTGCCACTCACACAACCCTCCCCCGGACGATGGGTCAAGGAGAGTAGCCAGGTGTATGCGTGACGGTTTGTAAAGTCGGAGCCCTAGCTCAGTTGAAATAACGATGAGACACAGAGAGCCCGGGGCTGGCCTCCATTGGGGATGTCACCCGCCCCAATAGTTGCCGGCCGTGCTGCCTGTCCAGGGACCTAAGAGCTGGACTTTCATTTCTTTACTTTCTGTATCGACCCATTATAAGAATAATAAATCATGTCATGTCGGTTGCATTATAAATGCATGTTCGTTTTCTCTATAGATTTATGTATTGATAACGACCCAAATTAAGAGACTTTCACTTCATCAACATGTAAATGAAAGAGAGACACCCCATCTTCAGCGACCCGTAGCTTTAGGCAGGGCTGCTCTCCAGGGGTTTTTGGTTGGGGAGGAGAAGCGTCAGCTGCCCCTGAGGAAAGGGATGGTGGCAATGGCAGGAAGTGGCGCAGAGATAAGGCAACTCCTGCAAACGTGCCTTCCATGCCGACTGGGCAGCTCGGTCAGACATGCCCACAGTCCGCTGTGCAAGTTAAAGCTGTTCTGCGTGGCATGGGTGTATGCACCACTCAGCCTGTAGAAACTCGCTGAAGTTTCCACCTTGATGTGGGACGCGGGCTTCTTGGAACGAGCAGTGCCTTGCACACCCCGGCGAACGTTCTGTATTCACTCCAACACTTGACGTAATGCTATAGGATGGAGGGGGCATACAAATATGTATCGTTCTTTAGGTTTTTTCCTTTATAGTTTATCATCGAAAAATTATTGCTACTAGTATTAGTAATAGAAAATTACATGGCTAACTTTCAAGTTCTCTTTTGCCATTAATTTTTTTTAAACCTGGTCATTTCATGAGGATAATTATATATACACTAGAGGCCCAGCGCACGAAATCGTGCTCGGGTAGGGTCCCTAGGCCTAGCCTGCGATCAGGGCCATCTCAGCCCATTTGCCAGTCTCCAGTCCCGCCCCACTGCCGACACCCACCCCGTTTCCCCGTTGGCCATCCGGTGACCTATCAGAGCCTGTGGGTCAGGGAGAGGGACCAAGAGGTCGGCCGTTCTGCCTGCTCGCCAGTTCCCAGTCCCCCTCACCGCCAACACCCATCCCGGTTCCCCATGGCTCCCCATTCACCATCTGGCGATCGGAGCCTGTGGGCCGGGGGGAGGGAGAGGTGGTCAATGCACCTCATAGCAACTGGTTGATTGGTCATTCTGGTTGTGATGCCGTTATGGTCGCTGGCCTTCTATTATATAGGGTATATATAATTATATCTTATTTTAGATATATCTTTAAATCCTTTCTTGTGAACAATGCTTTTAAAGTAATGTGCGCCAACCTAGGATTCCTCCTTATGCTTCGTGTGCTAGTGGGTATGTCTGCAGAGAGCTTGGCTAAGGGTCCCTGTGACTCCGCACTGCCTTGCGCTGTAGGTGAGGCCTTGGTCATGGTGATTTATGTCAGTCTGATGAATAGATGACTTGCCTTCACTAAAGCTCCGCTTGCTTGGCTTTGTCTCATTTTCCTCTCCAGTGTCTCTTTTGTTTCCCAAATTAAAGAACAAAACCATACCTAGAATATATGTGTGTGTGTGTGTGTGCTCATACATAAATAGCACACACACACATATGCACTTAGTGGTTATAAGTTTGCAGCCATTATTTGAGAAAGATTTAACGTCTTTGGCGGCATTGCCCCTCCCTTTCATGCCATCAGAAGAAAAAGCTAGACACTATATGCAAATGTACAGAGCAGCCTCAGCAGACAGTTTACCACCTAATTAGAGAAAACTCCAAATCATGGCAGTGAAATGATTAGCCCACATAGAATACTCCCGGCTAGATTTCAGAAACCCATGCTGTGGAATAAAAATCAAGCATTCTATTACCTATTCCAATGAGGGATTCTAAGCATAGAATGAAATGTCCTACCTATTTCTACACTATTAACGTTGGATTATATAACGTACTCTGCAAATACCTGTTGTATTTGAATACGTCTTTTTGAGTGTTATGATTGGAGCTAAATGGCAACGTTTAGAGATCTTCTAGCAATTTCCACATGGAAATCACTGCTTGTTTTGCAGCTCAGCCCAGGCTCAGGCATTGCTTTTTCCAGAGGAAGGTGAATAGAGGGAATGCTGGCTCGTAGGAGCCGTGTTCACTAAAAGCCATGCTCACTAAACGTTACCTGCTCATCACAAAGATTAACCTGAAATATGTCAACATTTTTCATTTCTATCTTCTCTACCAGTGAACACTGGAGAACATTTTTTATCCACATAACCTTTTCTAACTTCTCGTCAGAAGTCGGGCTGGCCCAGCACCCCTTCTCTTCGTGTGTACGTTTCCCGACTTGCAGGGTTATTGTCTAAAACACGGTCTCCGGGTGGCTATGGTATAGTCTACTCGGCGTAATACCCAATCCTGATTTATCATTTTTGCTTTATACATTTTCAGGTTCTACTCAAATAAAGCTGATTTCAATGCCCATGCTTTATTTATTCACTCATTCATTCAGGCTCCATTCATTCACATTTCCAACTCTGATTTCATTCAGGAGAGCCAGGCTGGGGTTCACTATTGTCCCCCAATATTTCTCCACATATATGACCCATGAGCACATGGCAGAGTAGAGAAGGCTGCGCCCACGGAGAGGTGGCCCCTCTTCCCCTCCCCGTAGCCCCCCTCCTAGGCTGGCCCGTGACCACTTTGGCTGTAAGATGAGAAGTCACACTATGCTCATGGCAGACCTGGCTTTGAGAGGACTGGCAGCTTCTGCCATGGCCCCTAGAAGCCAGCAACCCCTGAAAAAGTGCAGCTCCCTTGACATCCCCTTGCCCAACGAAGCCCCTAGCTGCCAGCCTTGACCTTCAGCCCCAGCCACTTCATTGCATTGTGAGAGATGCCCAGCGAGCACGGCCTGAGCCAGCTGGACACAGACCCTGAGAGATCCTTGCCCCGTGTCGCCCTCAGGCACTCGGCCCCACGTGGTTTGTCTCACAGCAACAGGCATCCGAGTCAGCCCCTTCAACCCCAGAACTCAAAACTGAACTTATCATCTCAGCTTTCTCACCAAAACACACATGTTCTTCCTCCCTGGCTCCCAAATCCTTTCAAGAGCAAACGCCATCACAACCACAGGTCTGCGAAACTTGACAATGTTCTTGCCTCATCTTCGGTCCGTTGCCACAATGAGCCAGTCACCAGGGCTCACTAATTGTCTCTTCCCAACATCCTTGAACAGCAGGATCTTTTCTGTTCCACCAACACGGATTTCATTCTCTGCACGGGCCTCTCCCTCTCTCCTCTATGTCACCAGCTCCTACTAGCAGGCCTGTGTCTGTTCTAACACAGGGAACAGGTCACAACAGAGCAAACACTCACTCATGGTGTTTCCAGAGCAGCGCCACCAGCTTGCAGGGTCTGATTCCCAGCCCCACGTCTCCTGGGTTCCCAGTCCTCTCGCCTCATCTTCCTCAGGGCGTGTCCTGCATGTTCTTAGATCCTTTCCTGCTTCGCTGACTTCAGAAAGGCCGTTTTCCTTGTGTGGGTCGTTCCCTATTTGCTGGTCAGAACCGATGGTTTTCTCCAGACCAACGCCTCTGTGCTTCCTGTGCAGCCATCCTTGTGTCTTAGGAGTGTTTTCTTGGGACTTTCCTGGCGGTGCTGGGAGGCCCACGCTCGGGCACCTCTGAGTGGCAGGCAGAGCAGGTAGCTGGTCTCCCTGAGGACAACGTCTTGGCTGCAGACCCTGCAGCTCGCACCTGCTTCTCTTTAAGTGGCCCCCACACGTGGTGCTCATGTTGGGAGAGAAGCGGAAGGGAGAGGAGTGGGATATGTTGGCTTTCACCTTCTTCCTCTTACAATTATATTTACATAAATAGCGTCGCCTCTATGCCGACACTGACCAGACTCCTCACCAGTGTTTCTCAGAGTGTGTAGCGCAGCCAACCGTGCCGGACTCGGGCTTGTCAAAAGTCATGTTCCAGGACCTACTGAGTCTAGAACCGGAGCAGGCATTTCTGTGAGCAGTAAATTATGAGAATCGTTACCTCTAAAAAGTTCTTATGGGTGAGAAAGTATTTTTATCACTTACTATGAGGTGTGTGTGTGTGTGTGATGCTACTGTTTCAGAAGCGGGTCTTTCTCTGGGACCGTTTTCCTACTCGGTGCTGAGATGGCCTTTGGGAAGCTGTTGTGTTGGCTCCTGCGCCCGCAGCTGGCGCTGGGAGGAGCACTGGCCGTGGCTCAGGTGTAGGGATGCTCCCACGTGCAGCTCTGTGGCGTCTCTAACGCTGGGGGGAATGCTGCTTCTCCGAGCTCTGAAACACGGTGACACTGTTTCCACCACGATGCAAACCAGCTCCAGGGGCGGCTGCTGCCCCAGCTGCGGGAGCCCAGCGCTCCCCGGCTCCTGGGCCGGTTGAACACGGCAGCTTCCAGGACCCGCCAGATGGAGCAGAAACAGTCTTCAGACAGAGGTGGGAGCTGTGGGGAGGAGAGGAGGGCTGAGGGGCGGGCAGAAGGGAGGGTGTTTTCCTGACTAACGGGGAATCGAGGTGGAGAGCCAGGTGTATACTTCAGGCCTTGCTGTTGAGTTGGGTTTTAATGATCCAACTTGGCTGCTTACGCTGGTAAAATTAATCTGCTCCTTGCAATTCTGTCAGTTAGAGGGCAGCCATGTAAATTGAGTGTCTATGAATAAGATGAAAAATAGATGTGAGGCAATGCTTTGTGGGATGCAGGCCAAGGAAACTGCTAGAGATATGTTTGCACTGAAAATATGTAGATTAATGGCCCATATTGGCTAAGTTCTCCCATGAACCATATTTAACTCAACTCACTGAAATTCAGGAACCAGCTGGGTCTGCAGACCCAAGGCTCTGGAGGCTGCAGGCCCTGCCGGTGCAGGAAGGCCACACAGCTCACTGTGGGG